CAGAATTCCCCATGGGCTTCTTTGTGGATGTACACAAGAAGTGCTCTGTTACCATTGCTTCCAGCCACCGGGTGCTTAAAGAGAGGTCAGCGGTTCTTTAGTAAATCCTGCTTTTGAAAGATTTTGGCCATAAAAATCCACTTTAGGCCAAAATTGCATATTTACTTCCTTTCTCATATTGCATTCCTGACCACCAGCCATCTCGGTATCTTCTGGTCCCTGAACTTTTTGTGCTTTACACCTTCTTAGTTCGGGTTCAAGCATGTTCCTGCTGCACTGGAGTCGGTATCGAAGCCATTCCCATGGGACCAGGAGCCAGGTAGATGCACAAGACCCAACAACTGAGCAATTGTCTTTTCACATCAAGCCCTTCTTTTGCTGTGTCTGGATGTTTATACGGTTGTCATCATGCCCTGAAAGTTACCGTGCGCGTTGTTAATTCTTTATAGTTATCGCGTAGGAGTAAAAACACTTTTCCTGTCCTATCTTTATTTTAATAAAAAAGACAAAGTTCTCTGCTCTTTCTTTTACGCACAGTGCAGGAAATCCTGCTGCTTGGTGCTGCTGGTTGGAGTTTCTCAGATTCACAGCTTTTTGCTCGTTCTCTCCCTGGGCAGACTTTGTCACTGCAGTTCTGACACTTGGTCCTGGGAGATGAGACAGAGCCATGCCCTGTTGTTATCACCCACGTGCTGCTGAGATGGTAATTTCCTGACACCAAACTGCATATCCTCATGGTGACAAAACATCCTCCAGCAAGAGAGTGCACATGTGAATGGCAAATGATGGGACTGACAGGGATATTAACCCTGTACACCATCAAGTTAGAAATTTGACTTGTACTCAGACCTCTGGGCAGCTGCTGGCCCTATGGGTCTGGGCTTTTGCTCAGCTCCCAAAGAGGAACGACTCTTAAGGATGACCACTATGGGTATCCCAGCAACTCTCAGTGGCAGAAATGCCAGATAATACCTGATACAGCCTTAGAAAGCTGCTTAGAAAGAGAACCAGCCCTTCTCCTCCCAGCACAGGCACTGTTTCCCTCGCAAAGCCGCTCTCAGCAGACGGTGTCCCTTCTAGAGGGTATCGGTGCAGCAGCAGGCAGAACTGACCGCACAGTCCTGCTCGGGAGCAAAAGCCAAGGCTCGCCTCGAGCCTGATGGTCCATGGACCCAGTTTGTTTGAAAAACAAATTTATCTGAAACCTTGCCCCAGCTTTTTCCTTGCTCAAAACAGATTATTGTTTTCTCTGGTATGTTTTGTTCAGTGGCATTTGGTGATACCTTGTGTGCATCTTGTTGCCTGCGTGAGCTGGATTTCAGCTGCTTTCTGCTCTGAACAGGGTTAGTTGTTACCGGGGAGCTTTGCCACAGGATGCTCTTTCTCCTGTCTAGAAAGTGGGAGTGTGCCTATGCAGGATTTTTTTGCCGTCAATTCATCAGCAGTTAATTCTACGTGTTTCATACGAGTGTAAATTCAGCGTAAACCACATGGCACGAGGCTCCTTCACAAAGGCATCTCCCCAGGACCAGTGCTTCAGAAACTCCCATCAGGGAGGCAGAGGGATGTGTAGGGTTGGGCTGCCTTGGTTTGGGTTTCCCTACCGCAGAGCAGGGAGATTCCCCGTGGCCTTTTCCATCCCCCTCTGCTCAGCCTGTTCAGCAGAGGGTTTCAAAAGCTCCACCCCAGGTGCAATATCCAGCCCCAGATCTGTCATCTTCAGTGTTGTTCCTGTGCGCGTCCCCAGCAGCAGACCGGGATGCGGAGGCTGCCAGCAGCCACCCTCAGCAAAGAGATATTGCAGAAGCACCGTGTCGCTGCACATCGTAACGTCCTCGTGGCCAGGGAGAGCTTTCAGTCCGCTCAGCTTTGCGTTTTCATGTTCCCAGTTCCAGGATTCTCAAATAAACTGAATATTTGTTTCAAAACTGCCTCCACCCCAGCCATGCTTCTCCGAAAGGCTGAGGAGCAAAGAGTGCTGGTTGAGGAAATCTCTAAAACAAGCGATAAAGCGTATCTGTAGTGGTTCTGCAAACAAACAAAATTGCAAAGGGCACGTTGTAAAATGCGGCTCTATTCTGCTAAAGAGCATGTTGTGAAATGGGTGCAGCCCCAAACCAGCTTCCCTGTAAATTTGTGCCGTTTTGCAGTGACAAAAATCAAGCGGGGAGAAAGCAAGCCTCTGTTTTGCGTTGTCCCACGTCAGGTTGGGTGGTGTGACACATCAGTGCCGGCAGGCAAACGTACAGAAAAGGGCTGCTGCAGCCAGCTCGGGACGCAGGGCGCTGCGAGGAGCAGAGCGACCTGTCTTTATCCTGGAAATCACAACCGCGCTTCCCCTTCAAAGCTGAAACTTGGCCACCCCCTTCTCATTCAGTCCATCTCCTTCCAAAAGCTCCCTATCTACAGAGACAGAAATATTTATAGTCTTTCTTGAGGAAATTGAAATCGTACACGCTGAAGCCCCCCAAAGCCTGCCTCTCTGCCAGTACAAACAACGCTGGGGAAAACCTACATTCTTAATCTAAATCCGATGCATTGTATTTGCGTTGTTTGTTTTTCTTCTACCAGACAGGAGGCAGCGAAGAGAGGTATGTGTCCAAAAAGCTATAAAGCCTTTGAAACCCCAGGTGCTGTGCTTGGCCACCCTGCTCCCCTCCTGTCCTCAGCATCACCCCAGCCCTCTGCGTCTCGGGCTCTGAAAGGCTCACGCACAGACGATAACAAACACTTTCAAGCAAAAGCGTTACTGGATAAATTTTCGTGCTAAGGTATGCAAGCACGGCCAGCCAGAGGATAACCGACCATCTGACAGATGCTGGGAAGGTCTCCAAATCAAACATCACATCAAAAAACATCCATTCTCAGACTGCTTATGCCTTGGACTTTAGTCTATCTGCTCCATCGTGCCCTGTCCATCAGCCTAAAAATAGAAGAGAAAGGAAAAAGAAACCCAGCTGTGGTATCAGAGAATTTTTAACTCGTTTGCTCCGTACGAGAAGGGCAGTGGCTCGAGGTCGCTCTGCGGTCGTGGTTTAAAGCCCATGCCGATCCCCTTGGTTGCTGGGCTTTTCTTGGGCAGGAAAATTCCTTTTTGTGTGCAAGGTTTGGGAGTGCTCTTCCAGCTCCCAAAACCTCGCGTGTTCCCAGCCGAGGGAAGTGCCGGTGACTGTTGATCACAGGTGACCACCACGGTGACCACCACCACGGGGCAGGCGGTAGAGGTGACCACGTCCCTACAGACACGCTGTAAAAATCTGCAAGGCTTCCCAATATTCACGCGGTGCTTTGAATTCTGAAAGTAATTTTAAGTGTAGCAATAATTTTGCAATAAGAAAAGAAAAAGTTTTCCTTTCCTAGAGACTTTATTTGGGTTTTTATTTTTAAGGGAATTGGTTGAAATAAAATCTATAGTGATAAACTAAGACAAATTAAAACCACTCTTCAGACCACCGTAGGAGATGAACGGACCAGAAGGTAGCGGAGCTGAAGGTAAGGTGGCTGAGCGTGCCTCCATTTCTGCTTCCACGCTGATTACAGTCGTTATGGTCATGGAACTCTACGCTATGTATTTTTAATTACATTTCAGATTATTCTCGGGCAACGTGCTGTAGTGCAGATCGTTGGGAGGGGGGACAGAAGCTTTTGTGTCTCTCCCTCTCCTCCTTCCTCGTGTTTGGCTCGGGCAGAGTCACCCACCTGGTATTTAAAGTAGGCTCTGAGGGACGGCGCTTAGGCACCCGCGTGGCAGAAACGCCGGTTTAGCTCTTACCAGCCGGGCTACAGGCGAGGCAGCGTTATCGGCCAGTGACACGCTAATGGTTTGTAAGTTAATTTTGCCACAGGATGGTAAAAACATCGATGTCTTCAATGGGTAACGTGATGAAAAGGGCTTGTCTGTTCCTGAGGGAGCAGGACAGATACCGGGTCCCTGGGGGCTGAGCTGTGAGTTGCTCCAGCCTGTGGCAGTCCAGATGTCAAAATACATTGTGTTATTTTAGAAATGCAAAAGCGATAGAAAACATCATATTCTCAACTGGTCAGTGCTGCAAGTTTTACTAACAGGACGTAACTAACCCTGGGTTTGTTGTAAGGATTATTTTTTGCAAAATGGATTGCTAATGTTAAATGGCTTTTGAATCACCCCTGAAGAAAGAACTAGAAAAGGTAATAAAGATGTAACGGGGAGTCACCTCTACAAAACGCAGAGCTAGCTTATTGCTCAAACACTGGATAAGGGAGGGCCCAAACTAATCACATCCCTTTCCCAAGGGAAGAAGGAGTTGTGTCTCGCGAGGGTGAGGAAGGGAAGGGTCATGCCTGGGAGACAAATCCCTGGGACGCGCCACCCCCTTTATCAGCAAAAAGTCAGGTTTCTGGGCTGGGATTACCTACGAGAGGGTTGCGCTCGTTCCAGTGGGATGGTGCCTGGTCTTTCAGCCCCACGTGGACATCCCGCTTCTGGCTCTTCATTCCTTCTCCATAGGGCTGCTGCTGCAGCGAAGCAAGCTGCTGCAGTTAACGGAGAGCGCTATCCTCAAAATGTTCCTATCCGTA